ATTTGAAAAATATCCCTGGACTGATCTTTATCTCACTTTATATGTGTATGACTTGGAATGTTTTTGGACTATGATTTTGCTTTTTCCCTAAAAGTAAAATATTATCAAAACTCAGTTTGTTTGTATGTTAACTGTTATTATCCACAATCATTCTCAGTTGCTTTCGTGCATAAACTCAAAGGGTACTCTGCTCAATAACCCACAACATTGATTGTGAGCCAAGAATATCCTTAACACACTATATATTTCCCACTTATTCCTTTATTCCAGCAGAAACAGCAAAATAATTTCAAAAGGATGTGTTGGCGGAAAAGGAAGTATAACTATCAGGAAGAGAAAGAGTGGAACGAAACTACAGGCAGATAAGGTCAGGAGAAAAAAATAACTAGGCAAAGAAGGAAAGAAACATACAAAACTCTCTTTAGATATATAAAGAAGTTAAATTCCCAAGCAGTGGCTAATTGAACTTGGCAACTATTTATATCCTGCTAATTCTATGTTTTCAATTGTTTCTTTTCTTATCAGTGCATCTGCCAATTATTTGACATAAAAAATATTGGCAAATAAAATTGTAAAACTAAATTTATAATTGTACTGTTAAAGTCTCTTGTATCCTATAATTCCACAACAATGATTTAATATGACATTGTTCATTCAAAACAGATAGATTTATATAGTACCACGATTATTAGTTTTATTCTCTGTGAATTTATATACCGGTAATTTCCTGCTTTAAAAAAATCTCAGTAGGTGGTAATCACTACATTTTAACAACTTGGTTAATTTAATTGTGCTATAATACAACAAGTAATTGGAAATTATCAACCTTCATATAACTTATAAAGGCTTTGCTATATACACTATGTCAGTTTGTTGTGTACGTATGTAATTATTTATATATACATACTTTAAAGTTACTTCTAAGGAACTTTGAAGCACTACTTGTTGAAAGTTAATAATTATACAGTCCTAAAGGAATCTGAAACAAATACACATGTAGTGCGCCCGTAACGGAAACCTTCAATTGCCACGGTCTGTTATTTAGTAAAATGTTATCATTATGTCTATAACAGTATCAAAGCAATGTCAGTGATACTTAAGGTAAATAATATGAATGTCTCAGAGACTGTGGTTAAATTAAGGGCAGTCATCAGAATTACACACACATCTGGAATGAAGCTAGACTTATTTATTTTTATATAGTAAGGATTATTACAATTTTGTCTAGACAATAGACAAAGATTTCGGTCACAAATAGTTAAGGACAATTTTCCTAATCATATGTGGGCAACAACCCATGTCTTCCTCACATCCTTTCATTTGGCAGGATATGTCGTAAGGAATAATGAAACTTTCCTAATCTCCTACATGATCAAGAGCAGCATTATTTCAGGAATGAGGGAGAAATTATGGCGACTGTTTAGACTGAGTCTCCCACACAGACTGCTTGTGAATCTCTTAAACCTCCTTTATGGTGCTACCCACTATCCAACAAACTAATTTCATTCTATACTTTATTTAAATAGTCTGATTCTTTCCCTAAGTGTTTGCATCGTTTACAAAACAATATAAATGACTCAGGCACAGTATTACAATAAATATGCAGATGAATCATGAGCATAATATGGATTATTTTTTCTCCTGAAGGAAAACATTACCATTAGCCTAGGAAAAAAAATTGTTGGAATAACTGCATTTACATAAGTCAGCAGTCATTACTACATGTATCAGAGAGTATATAAACTGAGAGCTAAAATATAGCTTGAGGCCTGGGATAGTTTAGCTGGCGCCCAGTTCTTCAAATGATTATTGGAAATTGTTCAAAGTTTTGGATTCTTCCTTAAACTATCTACATTGCTTTGTTTTTGCAGTTCCCTGTCACACTCTCCCCCACACATACACACACCTGACTCTTCAGCAAACCATAATTCACACATGAAAAGAGGGAGGAGCAGGATATGGGCAGCAGAGAGAAATGTTTTCAATCAACCTGAAAGAACCTCCAACAGTTGCCCACCTATACGGTCAATTAAACGCTAGTTAATTCTTGAACTGAAAGTTCAGTAAGGAATAGTACATTTTAAGCTCCACTACCTTTTTTATCTGCCCAAAAGGAACTGGGAGGAAAGCAAGAAAAAACAAACACAGCTGACTGTGTGGATTTTGTATTGGGAGCTGATGAACTTTGAATGCAGATATGGGTAACTGCTGCGGCCCTAGAGGCTGTTCCACTGACAAGCAATTTAGCTCAATTCTAGAATTCAGTACAATTCTATTTCTTTTTCCTTTCTCTATTTCTACCTCTATATCGATATCTCTCTGTATTTTTAAGAGTGTGTAATTGGGTTATGTTTCCCCTTTACTTCTTTCCTAGAATTGTTTAAAATAAAACAAGGAAACACCTGGATCTCTCTTCTTCCTCTCCTCTCCCTCTCCCTTTCTCTCTCTCCCCCCCTCCATCTTAAAAAAGGGAGAATTTTTCTGCCATTCATAAACTGGCAATCCAGCACATATGTTCTGTAAGTTAGTTAATCATCTTTTCTAGCAAGAAAGTCTTTACAAGAAAAGAGGCTGAACAGCAAATAAGATATTCAGGATAGATAGGAAGGGATAGGAAGCAGTCCAGAGTAGTTTTGCTTTAGCCATGTTGGTTCTCCTTCTAAGGTTCTCGGACTCACTGAACTCTAGCTGGTTGGTTTTATCCTTTATAGTACATCAGTTTCTAGATAACAAATGTATACATATTTATCAAAATAGAGTCAAGATAACCTTTCCTCAGATGATGTTCTGTCTGAATTCAATAACCAACTGTCCATACTATATCCAAGGAAAATCAATTTGGTTATAAAAGCTAGGGTATTTGTACAGTCATGGACCATCTACTCAGAGAGAAAGTATCAGGAGAGTGCTAATGGACAAAGATATTAACAGCCTTTGAAGAAATCTTTCTATTACAACTAGTATTCTATTTAGCCAGTATTTTTCATTTTCAAACTCAGAGCCAGAATATATATAATAGTGGCCAAAAGTGTGGAAACCTTTTGGGAAAAGTGTATTTTTGAGGTTTGATGGCTAATAACACTCCTTTTTTTTTGGAGTTTCAAGATAATCATATTCCACTGCTGGAACTGCCTGGGAATAGCCCAGACCCTAACCCAATTGAAAATCTATGGAGCCGACTAAACAAACTTGTTAGTCAGAAGCGACCCAGCAATAAAACCAGTTAGCGACCCAGTTAATAGAAGCAATCATTCAATCTTGGTTTCATATTATAACAGCTGCAGAACTAAAAGACTTGGTTCACTCCATGGGAAGACGTTAAGGCTGTAATTCATGCTAACAGTTACCCAACCATTTTTGTATATCTCATTTTTTTCTATGGTGATAATTTTTGTATATCTCATTTTTTCTACGTGTTTCACTTTTCTTCTTTATACTGTAATTGCTATTCTAATAGCAAATCCTTCATAAAAGTTATTGCATTACATTCTTGATTAAATTATCTTCCCATTGATATATAATTTTATGGTACTACTCCAAAAGGAAGTGGTGTTATTAGCTAGTTTTAGAAAAGACACTTTTCCCAAAAGGTTTCCACAATTTTGGCCACTACTGTAATGTAGCAATTAAAGTAACCAGACTAGGAGTAGGGAAACACACACGCTGGTCCTTTCTTAGCCGCCCTGAGTCTCCGGAGAAAGGTGGCATATAAATTGCACTAATAAATAAATAAATAAATAAATGGAAACCAGCTGGCTGTCTAGGCTAAGAGGAAGTCACTTCTTCTCAGCCAAACAGTCAAATGTCTGAATGTACTACCATGCACTGATGGATTCCCTGTAGGAAACTGAGACACAGGCACAGTACAAGGTAAGCCAACCCTATAACCAAGTGGGATAAATGCTCCCGGTATGAGCCTTTTTTGTTTTTGAAATGGGACTGTACTTTATACAGTTAAAAGAATATGTTCATAAGAAAGTTAACAGTAGAAGGATGAAGGGAAAAGCAGCATTATAACACAAAGATTTTTTAAAAAATCAATTTCAATCACTGCAAGCTTTCCCAAAAAGGCAAAATCTTCAATACAATTTCACAACAATGATTAAATGTATGTTATTTTTCTTACAAATAAGCAGTTAATTTTAATGGTTTCTTTGTTTAAAATGGCAGTTCTTCCAAAAAACTGTTTGTTTTTACAAAAAAATAAGTGATCTCAAATCCAATTCAAAATAGATTTGTATAAAAATCTGGGAAGAGGTCTGGAGGAAAGAAGTTGTAAAATGTGCTAATCTTGCAGAAGAAACATGTTTCATGAAACTTCAGGTAGTGATCTAAATTAGACTCAAAAGGAATAAAGGGAAGCATACCGAACAACTAATTAACTACCCTGTTTCCCTTGATAATAAGTCCAATCGGGCTTTTGAGTGCATGCGCTAAAATAAGCCTCCTCCCCCCCCAAAAAAATAAGCCCTCCCTGAAAATATTTAAACACAGAGCTGGAAATCAGGTAAGATGGCAAGAGGATCCCCATCTTGCTCCATGTACCCCAAAATAATAAGACCTCCCCCAAAATAAGGCCACGCACTTATTTCGGGGTTAAAAAAAATATAAGACAGAGTCTTACTTTCGGGGAAACACGGTAACTCATCTCTATTTTAAAGCTAGAGCAAACTTTTTTGGGCAAAATTATCATTTATAATCAAATGATTATATTTTACATCTATAAAAAGCCACTGTAGCCAGTACAGAACACATTTGGCATAATTTGCATTGGACTTATTGTAGTACAAGCCCATCAATATTACTCTATTCAAGAACACCAAAGGGAGCAAGTTAGTGTTTCATTTTTTCATACTATTCTTAGCACCAAGCATTTTTATAAAGCTTTCCAAATTACAGCAAAGAATAAAAATTTGCTCAATGGCTATATTTTTAGTAAGTCACAAACAGCAAGCCTGAGCAACATTTCTATTAAAAACAATATTCATATATTCCCTGACCTGGTATATTCTAAATGGGATGTAGCGAAATCCATTATCTTCTGCGGGATACTCCATGAGTTTCCGGTTTATAGCCCAAAACTGTTCAAATTTGTCTGAAAATAAACAGCAATTACTAGGGTTAACAAAAACAACTGCAAAACTGCAAATACCTACATAAGAACCACAGGGAAACAGATATAAACAACTTGACTACACTGTTACAGTTTCATTTATTTCACATTACATCCATATTCTTATGAATGGAACGATCATATTGAATTTGTTAGGATGAATTATTTTTCAGCAATCAAATACTGCATATCAGGGGTGTCAAACTTGATTTCATTGAGGGATGCATCAACATTCTGTTGACTTTGGTGTCCTGGGTGGGCATGGCCAGGGTGGGCGTGGCCAGGGTGGGCGTGGCCAGCTCAATGTTACTTGTGTCAGGGGCGCCTGTGGTGGCCCGAGCGTTCTACCAGAGAAAACAGGCTCCCGAACTCCGTTTTCAGCTGTAACAGCCTTGTGCAACCCTCTGCCAGTGAAAACAGAGCTCGAGAGGGCTGTGTGCGGCCCTCCTGAGCTCCATTTTCACTGGCAGACGCACCATGGGCCAGTCCTTTACTGTTTCCAGGGCAGCCCTGTGGGCCACATCTAAGCACCCCATGGGCCGGATCCGGCCCCCGAGCCTTGAATTTGACACTTCCTCCCACCGGCCAGTACGCTCGCACAGAGTGGGCCTCCTCAGGGTGCCGTCAGCCAGACAATGTCGGCTGGCGACCCCCAGGGGGAGAGCCTTCTCTGTGACGGCACCCACCCTCTGGAACAACCTTCCCCCAGAGTTACGTACAATAACAGACCTCCGGATTTTTCGTCGGGCCCTGAAAACCTATTTATTTCAACTAGCTGGGCTGGCTTGAGTTAAATTTTAAATTGATTTTAAATTGGGTTGTTTTAATTTACGGCCAAAATATTTAATTATTTTAATACTGTTTTTAAATTTTGTAGGCTCTGTTTTTTACTTTGGCTGTTCACCGCCCTGAATCCTATTTGGAGAAGGGCGGTATAGAAATGGAAACAAATAAAATAATATTAAAGTATGTTAAGGCCAATTGGAAAAGCCAGTTGGACACTTTTTCACAAATAAATATAATATGGTGGTCCTAGTCTGTTGCTGCAGATAAAGTATTTTAATATTTTAAACACACTTCAAAATAAGTTTTAAACACACTTCAAAACAAGTTGTTGGGATCAATTTATTTAATTGAATAATTAGTTAATATGCCACATTTTGTGATAGCATATTTGAATTAAAATGTATTTTTTTTTTCTGTTTGAATAGGAAAGTGAGAAATAAAAAGAAAGTTTGGGAGCGCAAAATTGCTTCAATTTCCATAATTGACAACCTTGAAGTTTGAAGGTCACTCAGAGCTCCTGGAAGTTTGCCAACAGATGGAGGGGAAGACAAGACAGTTATCTCAATCTTTGTCTCCCTAGTATAGCTAAAATTTAAAGATTAGAGCTGATGAGTATTAGCCTTCTGTGTAATGATGTCATTTAAAACATTAGCTAATGTTACTTTACTATCATTCTGGCTTCATATTTTTCGAGGCACTTTAAAGTTTTATAATTGAAATTAAAAACATCAAGTGTAAATAAGTGTCTTTAAACATGAATTTGCCCAAAGTAGAAGAACTATAGAGGAAAAAGCTGTATTGGGTAGTGCTGAATAGTGTTTTTATTTTTCTCTTGATAGTTACATTCCCTTTCAAGAATGATTTCCAGTAACAATATTTTTGGTAAGCAAAAATAATTTCAGGAAACAAAATGCAGAGTGAAGCAATGGGTAACGGGAACTAAGCCTCCATCTCATCACCCTTTGTCCTTTTGCACTGTAATGTTATGACTTTGGCAAACATTTACATTTTTAAAAATTTAAATACTAAGCACTAAGTGCTGATCTTTCTACTGATCTAGAACCCATTTTGTTACAAATGAAAAAGTTTTGATAATAGTGCCAGTTCAATTTATTGATATCTTCTCATCGATTGAATGAGAAGAAATGCAATGCAATAAATTTCACTCAGAAATAATTTCCATAGAATTTATTGCCAGGGAAATACAAAAATAATAGAAGCACTATGTTATTATATACCCAGTTTGCTCAAGATATATTTTCTAAATAAATAAAAACTCAAACAGGCAGTTTCAACAGAAGGAAATATAATTCAACACAAGATTTGGAATAAGTAGATATAGTAGGTATTTCTATTATCAAAGGTGAAACTTTCTCTATATTACTCTAATCCTTTTGTTTTTAATGTCAACCACATTTCACTTTAACAGAACAGTAAATTAACAAAGTGATCATCATGAAGTGCTATTTCACTCTTACATCAGTCTTTGTTGTATAAACTTCTACCACTTGCATGAATGTCTCTACAAATTGAGGGAAATGATAAAATAAAAAAGAATTATAGAGGCTTCATTGTGTCAAGTAAAGAGTTATACCACAACACTATAGGTAGAAAGACAAATGCACAATGTTTCATAGAAAAAGCAACTTGCAGATGTAGCATTAGCCATCAGGCAGTTGTAACAACTGCTACTTTCTTTTCTTTTTTGTGGTCATGAATATTGTTTCACAGAGGAGTTTAACATCATCCCATATATAATGAAAGCCATACTGAAAGATGCAGCATGTATTTTAAAAAGTTATCTTGGTTTCATAAGTTTTTTCTTATTTCTCTTTTACTAATGGCTCAAATACAAAATTAGCCTTTGAAAGTTTTCAAAATATTATCTGTTGGGTTCTACAGGTGCAGTTTCCAGTGACACACATTGAAACCTATACAACCAACATTTCTTGCCAACTTCTTTTCTTGGATCACGACAAAGCTCTCCCAATCAAGCCAAGCAACATTTCTCCTCCAAATCTTGAATGTCAAAAATCTTAGAGAAACTGATTAAACAATACTAGCGGTGAAATCCTAAACAGTTCAACTCACTTTTTAATTATTAATATTTTCAAGTGTCCTCTTTCCACACAGCATTTCAAATACTAATGTATTGGTGATTCTGACTATTCTAATTTTTGCTGAGATGAAAATAAATTAAATAATGTATGGTTGGATACTCTTATATAAGAAACAGCACCTAGACCATTATCAAAAGAACAGAACTACAGATTGATAAGGTCTGTCTCCTTGTCCTGCTTTCATTGTTCCTGTCTTTTGCAACCTGGTTGCTTCAAGTGATCAATACTCTCAGTTGTTCTTACTAATGTCAGCAGCCCACCACCAAGTTACTGCAAACCACTGCATTTCCAGATAAAAGATGTGTTGTTCAGATCAATGTTTGCCATGATCTACCATTTCGTAATCAAAAGTTGACAAAGGATAGCAACTGTTAAACTGTGGATCACTTGTTATAAAATCATTTTAACAAACAAGACTGAATTATGTCCAAATAACTCATTAGGACCTTGATTACAAAATTTATACAGTATCTTTCATTCCAATTATTTGAGTTCCATAAGTACAAGCTGGAAACTGGAAATGCCTTACAATATTACCTCAGTCCCTAGGTTTTTCAAGTGATTGAATATACATACTTCACTTAAAAGTGGCTCTTACCATTCTGCAACCCCATCCAAAGTTGCTTATGATCCTTTTTTTGCATTTCATTGATTACTTGACTCTTATGCTTTAAGGCATCTGCTTCTTTTATACAAGCCATGAAATGAGCTTCAATTACTTCCTTAGAGGAGCAATGCAGAAGATCTTTTTCTGGAAAGTTCTAGAAATATAAAATTGTAATCAAAATTCAAAAAAATACTCAAAAGTAATTTAGAGGAGCAAAGGAAAGCAAAGAACCTTTGCTACAGATAACCTCGACTTACAACCTTTTGTTTAATGACCATAACACTGAAAAAAATGACTTATGGCCATTTTTCACACTGACGACTACTGAAGCATTTCCATGGTCACATAATCAAAATTTGGACACTTGGCAACTGATAATGTCTTTATGAAAGTTGAATATCCTGAGAGCAAGTGAACGTCTTTTACAACCTTCTGATAATTGTCCAAGGTACTTTTTCCAAAAGGCAATTGGACTTTCTTGTTGGTTTTTTGAAAATGTTTTCCCTTCTCCAAGAAGTCTTTTCAGTACTGAAGAATTGAACTGAAGATGTTTCTTGGATGAGAAGCGAAACATTTTTAAAGAAAAAAACGCAAGAAAGTTCAGTTGCCTTTTGGAAAAAGCACCTTTGGGACAACCATGACCTGAATTATTATTTCCATAGACATTTTACCGTCTTGACAAGCAACTAACTTAACTATTGCAGTGATTCACTTAACAACTGTAGCAAGAAATATTATAAAATGGGGCAAAACCTATTTAACAATAGGTGTCTATTTGTAAATGAAAATTTTGGCCAAAATTGTGGTCATAAGTTGAGGATTACCTGTATTAGGAAAATTTGATAATATACCAAGACATAGTATGTTTTTTTTAATGTTTTTTTAATTAAAATTAAATTTTTGATTTTATTAACATACATAAATCATAATATATAATATATAACAATATACACAATACAAACAATCAACAAGTGCTTCCCCACCCCTCGGGATCATTCCTGCTTCCAAAATCTTAAAGCTTCTTCTGGTGGTGGTATCCCTCTGACATAGTATGTTTAATGACGGAGAAATGTTGTACTTTGCCAGGCTTACAATTCAGCAATAAATACACTAATTCATAGCAACTAGTTTCCAATAAGGAAGAATGATTAATGATCTATGCATTCAATGGTGAGCCAACTTTTGGTATTGAAGTCAATATGCAGGACTATGGCTTATTAGAGAAAGCCATGAATTGTTCATAGTATATTAACTACATGTATCTTATATGTACTGTGTTTCCCCAAAAATAAGACATGTCCTAAAAGTAAGTCCAAGCTTTATTTTTGGGGTGGGCCTAAATATACGCCCTCCCCCAAAAATAAGCCCCCCGGCACACACACACACGCACACACAGGCCCCTCACCCCCCCCAACCCTCCCAAGGCAGCCACATCCCTGCAAACCCCTGCGCCCCCCCGCCCCTTTCGCTGCCCATGGCACCAACCGTAAACTCCGAGCACCTGCTCCATGGTAGTGGCCCACCCGCTCTCTCCCCCGCGCCCAGGCACCACGTCCAAATAGCCTGCGCTATGGTTTGGAAGCCTCAGAGGCAGAGTTTGGGGGAGAGAAAGAAAGACTTCTGGTGTTTTCCTTGCATGCACCCAAAAGCAGAAGCAGCAGAAGTCTTTCTTTCTCTCCCCCAAACTCTGCCTCTGCTGCAGTCAGGGCAGCGGCCGCTTTGGGAGTGTGCTTCCCACTCTATGGTGACAGTGGCCTGAGGCCTCCAGCAGGGGGGAAGCTCAAGGACCTGGTGCTCACCAGCTTTGCCCACATCGACATGGTGAGGCCTGGGAGGCGCGCGAGCGGGGTGGGTGGGGTGGGGACAGGCATTCGCGTGGCTTGGTGCTCACATTCTACACACACACCCCACGGGAGGGGAGGGGCTTGATGGCGGCACACGAAGGGAACCTCTCTCTGCCGAACTCCCGGCTGTGAGTGCGCAGGCCACCCGAGCCTCCTGCATCTCCAAAATAATAAGATCCACCCGATAATACGGCCAAGCCCTTATTTCGGGGTTCAAAAGAAAATAAGACCCTGTCTTATTTTCAGGAAAACACAGTAAGAGCCCTGGTGGTTGGTGCCTAGAATGGAGTATTGCAGGTTAATACAATGCCTGGAGTTCAAACCTGATGAGATCAAAGTTGACTCAGCCTTCCATACTTCCAAGGTGGGTAAAATGACAACCCAGATTTTTGAGGGCAATATGCTGACATTGTAAACTGCTCAGAGAGTGCTGTAAAGAAGGGGTCCCTAACCCCTTCTTTACAGCACCAAGAGCCTTGATAGTACAGTGGTATACGCACCCTGTTATTAACACAGCTGCCTGCAATTTTTGCTGGTTCGAATCTCTCCAAGGCTCAAGGTTGACTCAGCCTTCCATCCTTTCTAAGGTAGGTGAAATGAGGACCCAGATTGTGGGGGCAATAAGCTGACTTTGTATAAAATATACAAAAGTATGAAGGCTATTGCTTAACGCATTGTAAGCCGCCCTGAGTCTCCGGAGAAGGGCGGCATATAAATCAAAAAAAATTTTTTTAAAAAAAAAACCAGGTCACAGCCCAATGGGAGTCACAGAAGCATTGGGTGAGCGTGTGAAACTCCATTTGTGCAAGCAGCAGGTGCACATGCGCCTGCTTGTGCAGAACCATTCCCTCTCTCACCCACCGTCATCACCCCCACCGGTCCGCAGAGCCGGAAAGGTTGGGGACCATTGCTGTAAAGCACTATGGAACAATATGTGCTATTGCTTTTATTGCTATTATGCATGAAAGAGGGTAGGCAACTTTTAACAAAAAATTCAATATTTCTTCAGGTTTTTTAAGTCCCCCCAATACTATTACAACTACATTTTTTAAACTGATAGTGAGATTGGAAAATATTAAAACATACTACTCTGAAAACAAATAATAATATACAAATCCTTTACTTGTTATCTGTTGATATTTACCATTTCTTTTTCATTCCAGTAATTAAAGCACAAATCCTTCTAATACATTTTTTGAAGTATATATTAAAGAGATATATTGCTTATATACCTTAAAATGTACTGTGATATTCCATGGAAGGGTTGCATTTGAAGCATGAAGATCAAATAGTAAACCAATGGGATAGTGCCTAAAAAGCAGAGAGCATGATAATAGTAATAATTGCATTGCAAGAATTGTAACAAAACACAGTAAGTTATTTTGTGGTGCCTAGAGCCCCTGAAAATGATAAACAAATAAAATTTAGTGCATTCATTTTATTTTAAAAATCAAAATTCTGAAAAGATGAATGCTTAAATTCCATTTCCTTTGTAGTTATTATGTCATCACGTTCCCCAAACCCTGCTAAAATGTGCAATCCCATGTTAAATAGATTAACAGTACAACACTTTCCATAAAATTTTAAAACAAATAGCCTGCATTATCAGCCAAGTTCATCAGCTATTTAATGTTCCTTACAGTCCAGTATATAATCATTGTGCACAAAATATAATCATAATTTTGGAAATCAGTTACAGAAAAAAGATCAAATATCATCCTAGTTACACCAAATACTTTCACAGTGGTCCAAAGATCAAATGCTCACATATCTGGCATGATGGCTGCTGCCAGCAGTAGTGACCCTAACTATTCTGACAAAACAATTCTAACCAGGTCATTAGCCAAATTCATTTTAGCAATAAATGCTGAATTGCCTTCTAGCACAGTTTTGAGGTTTATGCTCTTATTTTCAACTGTTTATTATTTGCAAACTTGGAATTGTGTTTCATTTTTTTATGGTTTAGGACAATAATCCAGAATCAGAAAACATGATTTAAATTTACTGGTTTCCTAAACTCGTTTTTCTCTGATTTGAGTCCCTCCGGTGATTTTGATCTACACTATATTTAACCATCAGCCATGCTAACTAGTTCTGGTAATAGCTGATAAACTCCTGACAGGATTCAGATTCAGAAAGTATATCTTAGTTTTGCATTTAAAATTAACCACTTTTTATCCAAATTGGTCATCATGAAAAAGTGTGCTATCTGAAAAATGAAAAGAAGAATTTGCATGCATTTCTCTGGTACACCAGAAATTCTATATTTACACATACTTTGACATTCCTGGTTTGATCCTTTTAATAAACAAAAGCAGTTTGAGCAGAAAGGAAGGGCCATCTGCATCCTCACAATATAACCTACTTTCTGTTACTTAGCAATAAAATTCATTTGCTTAAATCAGATAAAGTGACATCACTCTTACAGAAAATTAGGTATATTAATAAACTGCTAAGTTTAGCAGTTTCCAACTCTATCATTTCCAACTATCAATTCCAATGAGAAATATACTAACATTGTAGGCATAACAGAATTAAGCTGAATGATAGAGAGAAAATGAATCTGACAAATATCTCTAGATAAAAATTTAGCTAGCAAATTTGACATACAATATGCATGAATACACTTCAATATATTTTTAAATAAGAACTGAGGCAATACCCTTTTCATATTATTTTAGTGGAAATCTTTCAGGGGAAACAGCAATAAGAGCAAGATGTCAGCACTTCAACCTGCATTTACTCTAGTGCTGACATAAGAAGAAGAAGAGGGGGCAGCTGGCAAGAGGACGCTTGACTTCTCACCTACTTATTTTCCCTGAAGATAATATCCCCTAGGAGATGAGATGGGACAGTGGACATTCCTGGGAGGTTAAGTAGTAGATATGGGGAGAATGATTTGGAAGAGGGCCAATGAGACGCAGAGAACTGGGGAACAGAAAGGGAAGGTTTGTGGTCAAGAAGTCAGAGTTGGCTACGCCACGATCGGGGACAGGTTGTCGTGCTTAATAAAATGAAAGATTTCTTCAAAGACTATCTGTTTGGAAATGCAATTTATTTTATTTGAGGCGACATATAAACCTGACACAAAAGCAGCTACAGCTGTACACGTCATGTATCACTCATCTTCTAAGGTAGTTTTGTCTATGACACATTAATAATATCTCAGAAACAAAGATCTATCCACATCAAACTGAGGAAAGTACTCACTACTCACTGTACCACCTTGAAAATTCTTTTTTATCACTTGTCTTGTTGAGGAAAATGATTTTGTCGAGATTCAGCATGAACAGCATGGCTACACTATGTTACTAAGAAATCTCAAGGGTTTATGTCAAGAGTCTGATACCGATAGGAGTCATAGTAAAATATTCAAGTTCTATAATTTTATAGGAAAACTACCACCAATGCACCAGAATTCTGCACCAGATTTGGATTGGGAAAAATAACTACTTCTTTATTTTACAGCACCATTTTGTCAGAGACAAACTCTTTCCTTAGGTTGTTTTGCTTTTCTGCAAAGCAAAAGTAGAATAAATTTGTGTCTTATTAGGTTTCTATCAACCACAGTAAAAAGGGGGGATGGGGGAGTTTTAGCTACTAGATTGGCTAAAATTCTGCAAGTACAGGAAAATTTGCAACAGCTTTATAGAAGAAACGAACCCAGGTTAAGAAAAGTAGAAAGAAGATTTTGAGTCCTCTACCTATAGAGAGGCAAAGTAAAGTAAATCAAATGGTTCTTCTAAGATAATCTCCAATTCCAAAAAGTTATGTTTGTCTTTTAGATTTTTGAGAAAGTCATCAAATGAAAACCTCCAACCCATGTCTAACCTCATGTTCTGTAGTTTTTACTGGTTTTACTGGTGTCAAGGTTGATGCTGACAAAAACTGAAAGCGATAAATATTTAAAATGATAAAGCAGGCAGATGGATTCTCTAAAGCTGCAAGATACACTACTAGACATAATATTTTCAACAGAAATCCTATTCTTATTTAAAAATCTTAATTCTTCTCTTAGCAAAAGATGCCATGTAAGGCTACAATGTTAGATGTGTAAAAACCCTGTCCAAAAATAAGTATGTTTTTGTACTATAAGACAATGTTTTTGTACTATACAATGAAACTTTTACATTATAGTGATGATAGAGTTTCTCATGTCATATATTTGCATGTGATTACACAGCTGTAAACTGTAGCAATATTTTTCTACTAACTTTCCGGGAATTTTGAAGTTCTTAATTAATCTAGCCCTTTGTCAAACATGAGACTAAAATTTTTTTGTAATGCAGACAGAATACCAATTATCAGAATGGGAATGCATCATGGATTTTTTAAAAAGTGAAATTGTATCATTCACCAAAAGGTGTGTGATATACTCATGTTATACTATATACTATAACATGAACATGCTCATGTTATACTATATACTATAACATGAATATACGTGTAACAGAAGACTCTGAAGTCAAGAATGACTTCAACAAGATGGCCGAAAGCTAGATCTACACATCTGGCCATATCCTCAAAACTATACTGTCATTAAAACCTGCAATTATCCATAAATGTTAACAATAACTGGACATTAACATTAATAAAAGAAACATAAGATTAGCATAACAAAGCACAAGCTAGAATTCCATTCTAATTTGTGAATACGATATTCATTATGAAGCAAACACATTATTTAATAACGTCAGCCTAGTAAAATAGGTCATACTTTTTACTTGCTTAATGTGTGAGATCAAATGGACCTACCATGCACAGGAAAAGCTGAACATGGCATATATGATAGAAGTAGTAGAACTACAGATATGTAGTTATTTAGCACCATCTGCTGGTTGTGATAAACTAAAGTCTGATATCAATGCACATATCCAGTAGCTAGTTGCAAGAATGTTTAAGCTCCTTAAAGACTAAATCATTTATGCCAGGATTGCCATAAAAATATGTTAAGATTCAATATAATGTTGGAACACACCATGTTTTTAAACAATATCAGGTAATATTATTATATTATAATATTATATTATATTATTATTATAACCAAACTCATACCTGCCTTTTAATATAGATGTTCTAAAATTGTAGGGCAGCTCTATTAATCAATTTTTAAAAACAAATCATTCAACTGGAAACATATTACGTTTTAATATTATGCAGCTGAAGAATTGCAAAAAACTTATTAAAAACAGTTAACAGAATGATCTTCACAGACAAAAGTCTATGTGAAGTAGTACACAGGAGCATAGCCCAAAAAGATGATCTACAACAAACTAAAGAGATAAAAAGGGAGAAGTAGGTAACAGTAACAGAGTTGGAAGGGATCTTGGAGGTAAGTGGGAATAAACATATACAGTGACTGTACACACCCTATTAAAATACCAGGTTTCTGAGATATAAAAAATCACAGCAAGGTAAATCACTTCACAATTTTCCCATCTTTAATATAGCATATAAACTGTACAGTTCAACTGAAAACAAATTGGAAAGTGTAAGAGGAAAGAAATAAAAAGCTTACAATTGCATGATTGCATAAGTGGTCATATCTTCTGACATGTAGGAATGTGGCTGTGTTCAGAATTAATCAATCACATTTAAACTGGTGGTAAATAGTAGTCAGTACGCACCTGCCATCAATTAAAGGGACTCTGATGAAGGCCATTTAAGTTCAACTGTTCTAGTAGGATTTTTCTGACATTTTTTCAGTTGATTTTATAGAAAAAGGCCATGGTCTTCAAAGAGCTTACAAAGCATCAAAGGAATTTCTTTGCTGGAAGGTATCAGTCAGAGAAAGGGGCAAAATATTTCCAAGATATTGAATATACATTGGAACACAGTCATCAACAAGTGGAAAAAATATGGCACAACTGTGACATTACCAAGAACTGGATGTCCATCCAAAACTGATGAAAAAACAAGAAGAAAACTGGTTTGAGAGGCTGCCAAGAGGCATTCAGCAACATTAAAAGAGCTGGAGGAATTTCTGGGGTAGGAAGGCAAGACAATAGCCTTTTTTACAACAAAAAACATCAAAGTCTGGCTACATTTTGCAAAATCCTACATCAAGTCTGACAAAAGCAAGTGGGAAAATTGTCTTATAGTCTGATGAGACCAACATTGAACATTTTGGCCATAATTCCAAAAAGTTTGTTTTGCACAAAAACAACACTGTGCATTGTAAAACCACTTAGAGAGGGCTGTAAAAGCACTGTGAAACGGTATATAAGTCTAAGTGCTATTACTATTGCTACCAACAGTAATGCATGGTAGTGGCAGCATTATGCTTTGAGACTGCTTTTCTTCAGCTGAAACTGGGACTTTCATCAAGGTGGACAGAATTATAAACAGTATCAATTATCAGTCAATTTTGGCACAAAACCTTCAGGCCTTGCTAAAATACTGGAAATAAGAGGAATTTGACTTTCAACACGACGATGACCAAAAGTATACCTCCAAATTGAACGGAATGGCCCAATCAGAGCCCAGACCTTACTCCAATTTAAAATCTGTAGGATGACCTGAAGTGGGTTGTGCATTGGAAATGCCCTTGCAATCTGACAGATTTGGACTGTTTTTGCAAGAAAGAGCAAAGATTCCCAAATCAAAATGTGACATACTGGATAGGTTCATGCAACCACATTATTGTAAGTTTTCCCCCCTCAAAGATTTGTTTGTTTTTCAATTGAGTTGTATAGCTTACTGTATATGTTAAACGCGGGGTGGGGGTTGGGGGATGGGGACGGACTGATTATCTTGGTCTGATTTTTTCTCAAAAACCTGGCATTTGAAAAGGGTATATAGATTTCTACACCCACTGTATGATTGCCAATAGCAGGCTGTCCTCCAATAGTTTTCCCAAGAACTGTATTGAGTCCTGTATGGTTGGCCCTGCCACTCATAATTTTACAGTAGGTAAAGCCCCAGAACGCTGAGATAAGAAAGCTGAATCTGCCTCTTTTCTTCATCAACACAGATTTTAGGAACTATAAATTTCATACATAATAACAATTGTAATATATTCCTGACCTTAAGCCCTATGGATTTAACACATAAAGAATATCAACAGCATCTGCTCTCCCTGCATCCGCTATAAAAACAACAAAGAAGCTGTTGGAAAGTGTATCAAAATATGATTTTGATCACTCAGCTTTGAAGAAAATCATGCAATGAAATTATTTTATGTAAAAGGTACAATAAACTATAAGATCAGAGGTAGGTTTTTAATGGTAGGTCATAAAACCTATATAAAGAACAGGTTTTAAATAAATCAAATAATAGTATTCAAAATGGATTTTTAAAAAGATATGGAAGAGAAGAAGAAAAAGAAAAACTGAAATTGAAATTGAAATGAATATAAAATGAGTGCACAACAAGCAAGTATGCACCTCCCAACAGCATGAACAGAAGTTGATATAAAGAAAAAAGATGTGGAAACTGCTTGGAATGGAAGAGGGGAAAAAAACTGGACCGTCTCTTAAAAGCGTATAGTGTTTGGCTATTAGCAAATACTTAATGACATTATAGCTTAATGACATTATGTGAAATAGGATGTGAATAAGTAGAACAATGCATATATGAAAATGATAACTCCAGAAGCGAATATGAGAGAACAATGTTGTGTAAAATGTGCACAGAAGAAAAATATGGCTCCCAAAATTAGAGGCAAGAGGAGCAAGGACAGTTTACAATTAAAACAGGAAGAAAAGTTGGAAAGTGATTTTGGTGGAAATATAAAATTGCACTGAAAGTGCATGAAAAGCATAGATTAACTTCCAACAGAATAAATATAATTAAAAATAAAACTTGTGAAATAACTGCCAAGTTAATATCCAGGAAGAAACAGAGGAATGGAAACCATAAAAGTTGTGAGACTGTTCAAAACTATTAAGATGTAGATGATGTTTCTTACTGCATTGTTCATATTATACCTAATGGGATTAAATATTTTAGGATATCTTGCAACTGTATCCACTCCCTTACTTGCCAAATGTACAATACAATAATTAAGGTACATGCAAATGTTTTATGTCAGAAAGAGACTATAGGAACATGATTTCTGTTCTGCCCTACTCCTTCCTTGCTAAAATGCTAATTACTTGGCATGTGTATTAATAATTAAGTACCATATTTAAATATGCTTAAAGCTAAACAATTCCAAGCACTTTTCAAATTCTAATTGACATTAGCCAAGATTCTTGCTTAATCACAATCATTACTACTCAGTTATTGATATGGTTAGTTATTTATATCCTAGAAAATAAGGGTATGTAGTAGCAGAAGAAATACTGATAGGCATTTTCTTCTAGTCTATGCCAGTGGTTTACCAACCAGGATTCATATCTAAGAGAGCATAACCAAAATTTGAAATAAGCAAACATTCATTTAACCAGAAATCACCCTCAGTACAACAGCTCCTTTAAGCAGATTCCATGTGTGCCAAAATAAAAGAGAGATTAATGCAAATAATCTCATCAATCACTCCCGAATTAAGCAATGGGAAAATTATTGTCAGGGTTCAAAGTAACACCCCCAACAAAAGAAAACTCTGAGACTAGAAGTTCCTCAAAGTTCCATTTTATTAGAAATGTCATATTGGCACATCTGGGAAAAACCGAATCTGAAAGCTTCCAGGTTTTCCCCACCCAAAAGAAAGTCCAAGTCCCTTCCCCTGCACCCACATGTCCATCACATGGTCCAATCAATGCACCATCCCAACTGGAGATGCCTCCCAGTCATGCCACTCTAGGTGCAGGCCGAATGTCCTTGACTCTCAGAGAAAGGAATGTTATTATAGATAGCTATCTCCACCACTCCATGCAATCCCCCTTCCCAGTTTCCCACAGCACCAAATGTGTCAGCCTTGAAGATCCAAAGAAAAAGATGGCTTCCAGGGCCGACAATTATCTCTGCAAAAGACTAACTTTACTAGACAAAATGTTAAAGATAGACAAATGTTAAAACTTTAAATCCCTAAACTATAATTTTATTTAACAGAAAGAATGAGCTTATGTCTAGATATAGGCAATCTTTTAAGAACATGCCTCATGAAAAGAAAATTTCTTTGGCATAGTGACTGTGCTTAATAAGGTTTTTTGTTTGTTTTAGAAAAGTTTGATACAATCTTTTATTTGATTGTGAAAATGTTAAATGGCTGCCAGCAAATCTAACTTTATAAATTCTTTATGGGAATTTTTCACTCTATGATTGCCGACTTGTAGAAAATATGCATTCAAAAATTTAACTCACCATTTCAAAGGGGTACCTTCATTTTCAAACCATATTTCTCCGATGTCCTCTCGTCTCATAACCTTTTGAAAATGTTTTTTCACTTTGTCAGTTACAAGTGTCAGGTAGCTTATCCTAGGTAAAAGCAGCTGAAAAACAAAGTTTGAAAAATGGATTTTGCCCATTTTGTGAACTGATTTCAAGCAGAATGTATGGATTTAATTCAAAATTTGTAATTTAAACTAAAATAAACACTATAAAATATATATACACTATATGGGATTACCAGAAAGATAGAGGAGTATTTCCTATTCCACCATTATGTTGCTAAAACAATAAGGCATTATTGTCTATGGAGATTCTCAGTCATCCAGGTCATGGTTGTCCCAAAGGTGCTTTTTCAGAGCTGAAGAAGCTTCTTGAATAAGAAGCGAAACATCTTCAAAGAAAAAAACAAAAAGTCCAGTTGCCTCTTGAAAAAGCGCCTTTGGAACAATAAAGCATTATTGTTGTTTCAAGCCCACAAATACAAGGCTGAGGAATTACAAATAAGTATGTTACACTTTACGGGACAAGAAAAAGGAATGCCTTTTTTATGTTACAAAACACAATAAAATTTCTTCTGATTCCAGCCAATTAAACATTAACTTCAGTATATAATATGTGATTTTAAAAAACATACTGCACAATAAGATGAAACCATAGAAGTGAGCTTTATGGGACTGACATTCAAGCAATTAGATTGAAAATTGTGGGCATAAAAGTTAAAGACACAATCTACAATTACTTGCATACTAGTTACAGATTCAGGCAAATCTTCCTAGACAGAATAAAAACTTTATAAGAAATGTATTTCCATTACAAATGGAATTTGGACATACAGGAAGATGTTACTTACAATAATCATGAATTGTAAGACATCAATAAAAAAATGTTAATTTTCATTTCATTGTTTGTAATATAGAAAATAAATCGTCCCACATCATCGTACTATCTCAAAAAAGAAGAGACTTAAGAGAGCAGAATGAAAAGACAGAAAGAGTCAATAACTTTATCACGCCAACTCAAAATTTACAAAATGGTGTGCATATGGTTTTGTTTCTCAGAACGCTTCACCAGGTAAGATAGTAAGTGAACAGTTCTTAGGAAGTCAGAAACCTGAATCAGTCTAAGATGATCTTACACAGCATGGATTTTTGTTAAATGTAAATTACCAAAGATACTTTTTTGTTGCCTAATATACTTTATCCTTTCCTGTTTGATGAAATCTACTTCATAGAACTTCACAGAGACTGAACTGGCCATATGTTTAAACATATATTTTAAAAAATTGAACATATATTAGAAACTTGGAACAATGTGCCAGACAGAATAGCAGAATCGGTTCTGTAACAAAATGAAATTCTATTATCAAACTTAATGTTAATAATGATGATCTGAAATAGAAATCCAACAATGTTTATTGACATAAAAGATTTATCCAACAAAACATTAATCATTTGTTAAAGTCAAATATGCAAGACAGTTACTAAAATTATACCTTCTAGGTTATAGTTTCCTGAACCATAAATTACTGAGTAATTCTCTGGGTTGATACATCACACTAAGCCAAAACTAAGCCACAATATGACTTTGTATGATGTGTAAACCCAGCCACAATATTCTTCAGCTATAGGTCTTTCATGAAGTTATAGACTTACATAGTACGGTTCCGCTTCTCTTTCGGTACTCTCATCTTGATACAACATAAAACAGGTTGGTATTCTTCCAAACCACACATCTCTGAGTACATCTTTGTCATCTGTCATTCTTCCAGGAAGCGCAGAAACACATCTAGGCTAAATTATTCCTTAGATAACCCACTACAAACAAAAAACAAAGACTCGGCTTTTAAACCCACATGATTATCTGAATCATATTACCCCTTTAGTATAGGATTTTCTTTTCTTCTTGAATCTTCAAATTATGGTTAGTTGAAAAAAGTATTACTATCTTCACATTGCATAGCTTCCTAATGTGTGATGATACTCTTTATGAATTGATAACCTATGCTCTGAATTTCTTTAGTTAAAAATAATAAACTTGTATAATAAACCAAATGTAGTCTAAATACTGTCGTGATGAGATTTCTTCTAACCCATTTTTCTGTTTCAGCAAATGGTAGCTTTGAAGACAAAAAGCAATTTTAGTAGGGGTGCAACTAGAAGGGAACAACTGCACAGGAAAAATATGTTCATGAAAATCAGAACGGATTTGTACATTCTTCTTAAAGCTAGAGATATGTATTTGCTTTAAATAATGAACAACTTACCAAGTCCATTCTAACTTCAGAGTACAGCATCAAATAAACAAACAAAAATGACAGCATGCTTTAACGCAAATCTGTAACTGCCTAATATAAGGGCTTTATTTACAAAATTCTCTAAAATATATCCTCATTTTGGCAATCTCAGGATAGAAGGCCAAGTCAACTTAAGCCTATCAGAATCTAACTCCTGGCAGTAAGTTAGCCTTTTTGAGTGGCAATAGTGTCACTAGGGTTGAAGTTGTTTAAGGGGAGTGTGGGTGTGTGACATGCCAGCATGAGTCAATTTAGCCACTTTCTGGATTTTTGACATGCTGAACCTAAAAGATTTGCCATCTCACTCACACATTCACACATATTCTTTTGAGAGTGGGCATCAGAATTTCATTTTTAGTGTGTGCCAGAAAAAAGTGTCAGTAAAGGCTATCTTATCTTTTCTTATCAAACCCTTTGCCAATCAAGCAAGCAAGCTGTGGTGGTGCAGTGTTTAGAATGCAGTATTGCAGGCTAACTCTGCCCACTGCCAGAAGTTCGATTCTGACCTCTCAAGGTTGACCTAGCCTTCCATCCTTCAGAGGTCAGTAAAATGAGGACCCAGATTGTTGGGAAATATGCTGACTCTTAAACTGCCTAGAGAGGGCTGTAAAGCACTGTGAAGCCATGTATAAGTCTAATTGCTATTGTTATTACTGTTCTAGACTTTTTGGAGGCAGCTACAAGTCATCCAGTGACACTGTGATTCTGGAAACAGGACAAAGTCTCAACTCTTTTCCTTGTTTTGGGGAGAGATTAATAGGGGAACTGTGAACAGAAAGCATCTGAGAAGTTTCTTTCCTCAAGCTCAACTCTCCAAAGTATGCTGAAGTTCATGAAATATACCTCCAGATCTCAGTAGCTGGATCCACAAACTGATTAGCAGACATTAAACAAGCCTAACTTAAGCAATTTTGCCCTTGTAACATTTGCATTAGCTTTCCCCAACTCAAGCAGTCTCTGGCTGTGGACTTGTACAAGTAGTCCTTGACTTACTACTCATTAGTGACTGTTCAAAGTTACAACGGCACTGAAAAAAGTGACTTATGATCATTTTTCAGCATCCCTATGATCACGTGATCAACATTTAGATGCTTGGCAACTGGTTCATCCTTATGACCACTGCTGTGTCCCAAGATCATGTGATCACCTTTTGCAACCTTTGGATAAGCAAAGTCAATGGGGAAGCCAGATTTCATTTAACAACCGGGTTACTAACTTATCAACTGCAGCGATTGACTTAACAACTGTGGCAAGAAAGGTCATAAAACGGGACAAAACTCCCTTTAAACCAACGTCTCACTTAACCAAGTTTGGGGCTCCGTTGTGGTCGTAAATCGAGGACTACCTATAGTGCATGGAGTTTCCTGCCCACAGGAAACTGTAGTGAATGCTGGGAACTGGTCCAAATAGGGTGGCTGGCGATGGACGACTTATATTACGGCATACAATCAAGCTTACTTAGGACCGTGGGGAGAGGCCACCTGGCATTCCCCAACAGTTTGGATCTCATAACCCCGGAATTCACCAAATAGCCACGCTAGTTGTAGTTTACAGGATTGAAAGTTAGCACCGGTTAATTCACCAGCTGTCCAATGAACACCATGGGGGAAACGCCATGCAAAGGTTAAGCCGGATGCAATGCAATCTCTTGAAGCAACAGAGCTTTGGAAACCCATCCAGGTGTTTCCCAAATTAATTCGGGGCGGGGAGACCGGGGGGGGGGGGGGCGGCTCTAAGGCACGACCTTCTTATGCCGTGAGGATAATGCCCGAGAGCGCGTATGCAATGCATCTCCTTGTACGATTAAGGCGCAACCTGCAGCGCTGCAGGGAAAGCCCCGCGGAGGAGGAAAGGGGCGCGAGGAAAAGGCAAACCAGAACTCTCCGTCTCGCGGTGGAGAGAGGGAGGGAGGGGGTGAGTGGGAGAAGAGCGAAGGTTCCTCCACGCGCCACACACTCCCCCCCCCGCCGCCGCATCTGCCGTTCGGACGCCCCGAGACCAAGAGAGGGAAGAGGCAACGCAACCGTTACCTGCCAGTTCGTTTCCGTCTCCAGCCGCGCCCCCCCCCCCCCCCTCCCCCCTCCCCTTCCCCATCCCTCAATTCCCCCCCTCCACAACGCGCAAACTCCATTCGACCTCTCGCCCCGCCCCACCAAGGAGGCCTTTTAAAGACGCCGAGTCTTGTAGGGGTGGGGGTAATCACGTGACTCTGCTCGAGTCTTCCAACCCTCCAGACCAGAGAAAGAGAGAGAGAGAGAGACTCGGCGGTACGATTGTTTTGGTTTCTGTTGCAACCCGGAAGTGCTGGGTAATCATAGAGACTACAGAAAGAGGACATCCTCGCGAGGGCTTTGCGGATGCTGCCCTCCAGGGGGCAGCATATGTCCCAGATTCATTTTACCTGGCAAATGATTCTACGGCGCCAGTCGATAAAACTAAGCCTTCCTTGCAAGCAGCCATGGGAGCCGGGGCTGCTGGAATTTGAAGTTCAGCAAATTTGCAGCCGGGTGTACAGCAGTGTAAGGTGTGTGGACTTCCAGAATTCCCCTTTACAGAGGAGATGTTGGGACTTGAAGTCCGCACATCTTAAAGCTGCTGAAGTTGAGAAACAGTAATGTAGCAGTTTGAATTGCAACCTCTTTTGTAGAACCAGGAAAAATAACGTGTGCTAATTTGGCTAGAGGGAAATGTTAAAAATCCTGTAAAGGTGATCATTCGCTATACGGTAAAGGAAAATAACAAAGCAATTTATTAGGAAGGTGGATGAGGCTATTCTACATGTATTCATTGAAATGATTTATTGTCTCCAGGAGGCTTACCCTGTTTAAAATGTAATGGCAGCTAAATATCAGACCCACAAACTTTCTAAAATGGAAGGTCCGGGGAAAAAGGAGTTAAGACATAAATGGGAATAACTCCTACCAACTTAGTAGTATGTTGTATGAATCCAGCCTTGATAATTTGTAAATCATACTGTATAATTTAACGACAGAACCTTGCAAATTTATTTCAGTCATCAAGCCATGATTAAATAAACTGTGGCTTAGCTTGCTGTATATGTATTTGTGTATATATATTTTGGTGTTATTGAAAAATGTAATAGCCACAGGTAAGAGAAAAGTAAAGAAAGCATATTTAATGAACTGTAGCTATAAAAAGACTATTGGGCGAGTTGCAAGTTCAATCAGTTTTGAAGCAACCAGATAGTTTTTCCTATGTGCAATTCCAAAGGAAATACATTTGCATTGCTTTGAACATAGATATAATTAGACATTCAAGGTGGGGTTCTGTGAGAATGACAAGCTTGGGTGAAACTCAACATAACCAAAAACTAGCCAAACTGGTTTTCAGGTAATAAATAAGGCAGAATCTTGTACAATAGCAGACAAGTTGAACAACTAAAAAGGAAAAAGTATGTAATATAAAGTATAATACAATACATTATTGCAGAGGATAAACCTTCAGATGATAAATCAGGAAGAATTTCCACTGGGAAGTCAAACATAAAATCATCTATGAATATCCCTTTCTTAAATATACGTATGGTCTGGCAATTAATTTTTCACATGGATTCTTTGCACATTCCAGGAAATAAGTGCATACATCTGTTTCATCACAAGGCAAACTCTTACTTAACTTGTATTTGATGTCAGGATGCAAGTACAAAAACAAGGTGTTTATCACTTTGGTATCACAATGTTCACAATATTCATTTTCTTATGTAATGTCATTGTAGTTAGGAGAAAAATCTTTCTCCATGGCCTAAAGCTTCCTTCTCAAATACTTTGACCCCCAAATGAAGAGAGAGGATTCATTGGAAAAGAACCTGACATTGGGAAAGATTGAAGGCAAAAGGAGAAGGGGAACAGAGAGGATGAAATGGTTAGGTAGTATTGTTGCAATGGAAGGTGAATTTGGGCAAACTCTGGGAGACAGTGGTGGAGTGGGGGGGGGACTGCTATGCTATGGTCTATGACAGTGGTGAAATCTAAAATTTATTACTACTGGTTCTGGTGGGGGGGGTAATGTGACGGTGGGTATGGCCGATTTTTTTTTTTAACTTTTAAAACCATTTTTTCTACAACGTCTTTGGAGAAGAGGTTGTAGAAAAAATGCTTTCAAAAGCCTCTGACGATCCAAGCTGAGTTGCCTGATCGGCAGAGGGTTTTTTAAAAAGCCTCTGCCAATCAGGCATCTCAGCTTAAGACGTTAGAGGCTAATTGGCTTCTAAATCCCCCGATCATCGCGCGGCTCAGCTGGGCAAAGGGGGGGGGAAGGGATTTTTGCTACCGGTTCTCCGAACCAACCGCCTCCATCGCTACCGGATCAGGCAATCCGGTCTGAACCGGAAGCATTTCACCCCTGGTCTATGAGGTCATGAAGAGTCAGACATGACTTAACATTCGGGTGTCAAACTCGATTTCTGTTTGATTGAGGGCCACATCTGGATTCTTTGACCTTGGGGGGCCTGGGGGCATGGCCATCTTGATGTCACTCGTGTCAGGGGTGCCTGTGGTGGCC